GGATGAGAAACTGCTGGGCACTGTGCCAGGATGGAGAGGAGGAGCATGGTCCCAGCCAGGGTGCAGGAAAGGCTTCTGGGAAGAGAGTGTGCTTGGGCTGAAAACAAAGATGAGCAGGAGCCCCCTGGGGAGTGGGCCCTGAGGCGAGGGCCTCTGTGTGCTGCCCTTTCTCAATTAGATGCATAAAACGTCAGACCCTGAGGATTCCCTGGGCTGACCGCTTCCTTTCCAGATGGAGGGGAAAGCGGGGAGGCAGGTGCGGCAGCGACAGCCCTGCCACTCTCAACGTCTCTGGTCCTGCAGGAGCACCCTCCGGCCATGAATCACCTGGACTCCAGCAGCAACCCTTCCTCCACCACCTCCTCCACACCCTCCTCGCCAGCGCCCTTCCCGACATCATCCAACCCATCCAGTGCCACCACGGCCCCCAACCCCTCACCTGGCCAGCGGGACAGCAGGTTCAACTTCCCAGGTACCACATCTCCAGGCTTTTCTGGCTTCTTAGGGGCGTGGTCAGATCCCCTTCTCAGCAGACCCAAGGTCTGCAGGTTCAAGGTCCGACATTGGCCAGACGTTTATGGAGCACTTGCCAGGCGCCCCAAGCATAATAGCTCTGAGGTTGATGCTGTTGATTTAGAGATGAGAACTGTGAGGTTCAGAGAGAGGGAGGGGCTTGCCATGAGTTGTACAGCCCCTAAGTGGCAGAGTAGAGACCAAACCCAAGTCTGTCTGACACAACAATCCCCCCACTGCCCTCCTCTTCGTGGGGTGTCCTCTCCTGAGCAGTGCTCACTTTCTCGGGACTGGTTTCTGAGCTCCCAGGAGGCATGGGTGGCAACACAGGGAGCTAGAAGGCCTCAGAGAGAAAATCCGGGGCCCTGCTGCTTCCCACTCGTGATCTGGGTCAGTTCCTTCAAGGAGACCTCTTGTTCTTTTTCCATAAGATAGGAGACTGTGTAAAGTTGGAATTAGGTGGTTCCCGTTGTGTGGACGAGGACACAGAGTCCCACAGGAATTTAGAGCACAGTAGACGTGAGCCAGAGCTGACCTCTAGCTCCACCCCAGCAAGCTGCCTGGTGTCTGTGGGGAGGGGTCAGGATTCTAGCCTCTCCTGCCCTCAGCTGCTGGTTGGGCCTGGGGTGTCTGCCCCTCCAAGCAGCAGAGGGAAGCCCACCTGTCCAATTTGGGACTGAGCTGCTGCCTTGGCCTCTCTGGCAGCTCCTCAGGGTCAGTCTCAGCCTTCAGTTTACTGCAGTTTGCAGTCCCAGAGGAAGGAGCATGGCTGTGACACTCCTGTTTGCTCCAGACTCGGCCACCGGCTGTCTCCAGCTGGTAGAGTCTAGGCCAGACCCCTGTCTCTGGCCTCTGGAGCCCCAGGTCCATGAGGACAGTCACAGCTCTCCCTGTGCCAGGGGAGCCCCACCTGGAGGCATACCTAGCCATCATGGGGCCAGGCAGCTTCTCCTGGGACTTCTTTTGGGGGATGGTGAGAGACCAAGCTCTTATAAGAATCCTTCTCTTTGCCTGTCCTTCACCTCAGTAAGCACATGGCTGGGTATCTCCTGACATTCACATGTCCTGGCACGCCCCTCCCCTCCCTGCCTTGAGCGATGGCCTCTTTGATTAACCGCCTCTCCCATTCTTCTCTGTCTTTATTATGCTCTGAACTGTGCCTTTTGCTAAACCTCCCAGTTTGGGTTTTTGTAAAAGGACGGGTGTGTTTGAAACACGGCAGCCACAGAGAAAGTTCTTTGTGCACTATTAGCCAGACCCTTGCTGCTTTCCCTGATGTCCCCAGACTGGGCTTCATGTCCCCTGCACAGAGGCCTCACTCTCCAGGAATTCCTGTATGCTATTGTAGACTTTATAAACACAACATACTTAGGCTACATGAATTTACTTTAAAATATTTTCTTCAGTAATTAACTTTAGCTCACAATATTTTTACATTATAATCTTAAAAAGCTTGTTTTTAACTCTTAGACTCGTGTAGTAACACTTAGCTCAGAAGGCAAAGACATTGTATAGCTGTGCAAAAACATTTTACTTTGAATTTTTATAAGCTTTTCTCTGCCTTTAAAATTCGTATTTTTTTTTCCTTGGTAAGCTTTTTTGTTAACTAAGACACACCCCCTAGCTCACCCACATCACTGGCTTCCACCTCCACGCCTTGTCCCACTGGTGACATAGGTGGAGCTGGCATCTCCTGTGATAACAGCGCCTTCTTCTGGATACCTCCTGAGGGACCTGCCTGAGGCAACAGATAACTTTTTTTTGTTTGTTTGTTTCTAAGTAGAATAAGTATACTCTAAAATCATGATTAAAGGCCAGGTGCAGTGGCTCACGCCTGTAATCTTGGCACTTTGGGAGGCTGAGGTGGGCAGATCACCTCAGATCAAGAGTTGTAGACCAGCCTGGCCAACATAGTGAAACCACATCTCTACTAAAAAAACAAAAATTAGCCAGGCGTGGTGGTGTGTGCCTATAATCCCAGCTGCTCAGGAGGCTGAGGCAGGCGACTCGCTTGAACCCAGGAGGCGGAGGTTGCAATAAACGGAGATCCTGCCATGTCACTCCAGCCTGGGCGACAGGGCGAGCCTCCATCTTAATAAATGAATGAATAAATGAATGAATGAATGAATGGGCAACAGGGAAAGCCTCCATCTCAATCAATCAATCAAATTAAAATAATGATTAAAAGTACAATAAACACATAAACCAGCAATATAGCTGTTTATTCTCATTATCAAGTCAGATGCTACTGCGCATCATCGTGCGTGCTGTCCTTTTACACAGCCTGTAGAGCCGTGGGTTATCTCCCGCCAGCATCACCACAGACGTGAGGAATGCATGGCGCTGCCCTGTTACCACAGCTACCACATCACTAGGCGAGAGGAATTTTCCCACTCCATTGTGATCAGGACCACCATCGTGCACGTGGTCCCTTGTTGACCAAAACAACGTTCTGTGGCACATGACTGTATTTACAACCCCATTTGACAGTGCTGGAGAGGTTAGCCACCTCCCTAAGGTCCCAGAGCCTAGTTATGTGGCAGAATTGAAGTTGCAACATGCTGTCAGCTTCCAGAACCCTGCTGCATCCCTCTCAGTTCCCTACATGAGAAAGAAACAATGTGGGAAGGAGTGGTAAGGCTGAGACACTCTGGAGGTACAGGCGGGGCTCGGGAGGAGGCCGTTCTTCCACACATAGCACTGTTAAACTTTTCAGAAATACCGTTTCTCTCCCATTACATTTTGCCCTTCTGGGCTCACATGGATTTCATAGAGCGCTGGTCACCAGAGACGGGGTCTTGGAATGCCCGATCCTCCAGTGCAAGCCCCTTTAGTCCTGCGGACTCGTACCAGGGCCCATTTTCTTTCTCCCAGCTCCTTTCCTCCTTCCTGCATGGTTTGGCCTGTCCTTGCCGGGCCCATCTGGGGCAGGGCTGTCCCAGCCCAATAACAAGTCCCTGTCTCCCAAGCCGGTGTCTGCAATTCCGCTCCTCCCTCCTGCGCTGGCCGTTCTGTGTGTGTGACTCACCTCCTCTTCTGTTTAAAGCTGCCCACTTCATTCATCATAGACAGCAGTTCATCTTTCCAGGTGAGTCGTTTGCATGGTTCCATTAACTGCCCCTTGCTGTGACCCCTTCTGTCCAGCCCACCTGAGTACCTTTGGAAGTGCTTGAGTCTCCCTCCTCCTGTTCTGAGAGCTGGCTGCCCATGGAGGATGGGAAGGGGGCAGGGCAAGTGCCCTGGAGGTGGGCCTCTGACATGAGAAGTTCTTGCTGGGAGGGACCCTGGAATCCATCCCATCCAGCCCCTTGGCACAGAGACTGCAGGTGACTTCTTTCACAGTCACACTGCCAGGAGATGGCACAAGCAGGACCAGAACCTGGGTTTATGGAATGGGGGGAGGACTTTTCACTATTGCCCGATGAGCATCTGTCACCATATCCTCCCTTGCACAATGATGGGAAACTACTGCCTTGTCTTACAGAAGTGGAAACCCATTTGGGAAGTTCTGCAGGCTTCACTTACTTAGTGGGTGTCACCTTTCTGTGCCTTACCACACAGTGCCATCTGCTGGCTGTTGCTGGAAATGCCTCCTTATTGCAGAAAGTTTAGAGGAAAAACCTTACAATAAGTCAATCCATTGAGTTCTTTCTGCAAAGATTGTTTTGTACATTTACTGTGTACCAACCTTTTCATTCCTGCCCCTAAAGTGTTTGAGATCAGTGTTTTTTTTCTGTAACTGATGGTGATGAGAATAACGGTGTTTAAGACAAAGACTGTAGCTGTTTTTTTTCTTGGCTTGAACAGGACTGTCTTGAGTCTCACAGCATTTTGGTCACTCCAGGCTTTTCTATTCCCTAAGCCAGCTCCATCAGGGAGCTGACTTGCAGCGTCTGTGAGCCCTTAGAGACGTCCATATGGCATTGCTCGGGTGTGTGCAGGGCCGCGGTCAGGAGCCTGAGAACCCGTCCCAGGAGGCTTCCTCTGAGCAGCTGGGCGGCCTCTGCAGTTTCACCCGTTTTTTGTTGTGGTCCCCTGGTTACTAGCTCTAGGACGCACACAGGGGTTACCCCAAAACATTGGGAAGACATGGTTCTTCTCCCAGAAGAGCAGTTTTCCCATTTTCCCCTGAAGATATGTCACAGGGAGGGCAAGGAAATATTTCTGTTAAAGCAAACGTGGGCACATTTTGGAGCAGAATGTTTGATACACTCTTAACTTTTAAGGAAAAGCATGGGGCTTCAGAGGCATTTTGCCTTCCCTCTTGGGGTGCAGTTCCTCCCCAAGCCCCCCCTCTTCCTGCTCCCCTCATGCCCTCGGCATGTGTTTGCCTTCTGTGGAACATTGAGCCGTGTTGGATAGGTGGAAATGCCAGGCCCCCACTGATAGTCTGCAGACACACTGTGTCCAGGGGAGGCCTCATAAGTACAGGTTTCTAAGGTTCTGATCCCCAGAAATTGTGCACGGGATGTCGGGCATATGTGTGCATTTCCCTGATAAGAAGGCCCACTGCCTCTATCAGATTCTCCAAGTCCGTGAGGTCCCAGAGATGTCACAGCCTGTGGTTCGGATGACCTTCAAAGGCAGAAGAAAGCCCTAGCAGGAGGTCGAGGGAGGTCTTTGTCCACACGGGCAGGAGAGAGGCCTCTGATAGCTCCAGCCACTGCCACTTCCTGTCTCTGTTTTTGCAGAAGGAACGGGGAGTGAGCAGCCCATGATGGCCCTGGGACCACCAGTCTCCCTGTAGCACTTGGTTCCATGCTGGAGTAACTCGGTTTTGGTGTCCCTGGACGTGGGACTTTCAGTGCTAAACTGGGAACACCCCAGGCACAGGGATCAGCCCCAGCTGCCCACTTCTGGACCCCTGATATGTGGAGTTTCCTCCTCTCCCCTGAGAGCTTCTCCACAGTGACCCATACCCAGAAGCCGAGGGGTTGGGGCCTCTGTGCTGGAAATCCCCAGCAGCTGCGCCCGGCACCAGGTGTCACTAATGAGCCACCTGCGCGTCCTGCCACAGCCTCGCTGGCCAAAGTGAGGGTGTCTCATTACTTTCAAGGGTTGTCACAAGCAGCCCTGGCGTCCAAACAGGAGGAGCTTCGGCCACCTGTCCAGTAAATGAGAGCCCAGTTTGCTTTTACCACTTGCTTGTGTGGGGCAGTTTGGCCACTGGGGAGTGGTGGTAATGAGAATTCTCACCCTCCCCACCTGCCCCGAGCCCCTTGCTGAGACAGAGCTGTGTATGCAGAAGCAGGAGCTATGGAGGCTGTGTGCTTGCAAGGTCCATGGAACGGCACAGGCTGGTCCTTGTGGAAGTGCTGGGGAAACACGAGGCAGCCGCTCAGGGAGAATCAACCTCTCCGGGGCGCTGGGTTTGAGGGCGGTGTCTCTTGGGGGAGGGAAGCGATCTCATGCTTTGCCTTTGCTTTGTGTTTCCTCCAGACATTTCGGCCTTTGCACAGGCAGCCCCACTCCCCGAAGCTGCCGACAGTACCCGGTAGGCATCCCTAGGCTGTGTCCACGTCCCTGCCACCTCCCACACCACCCTTCCACCTCTGGCCAGCCAGATGCAGAACTCCTGGCCCTCATTCGCCCTCTGGGCCAGTGAACTCCGCAGAGGGTTTTATTTGCCTCCTATCAGTATGTCAACATTGGGTGGGGCCGAATATGAAACTGGAGCAGTCTTGGGACCCGGAGGGGTGGACAGAGGACAGTTGGAGTTAGAGAAGCCTAAGAATAGCTCCTGTACAGAGCCCTTTCTCTGCCAGGCCATGCTGAGCACTTAACTCACATTCCCACATCTCATCCAGCCTGGCAGTAGGTATCAAAGTAGATGTCATCATAACATGCAGCCAGCCCAGAGAGGTTAAGAAATTACATAAGGTCACACAGCTAGGAAGCAATAGAGCCAGTTCTCCAAGTCAAGGCCACCAGATTCTGAGTCCTATGGGTGTGCTCGGAGCCCCCGTGCAGCAGTGTCACATCTGGAAAGGGGCTTTGGGGAACATTGCTCACCTCTCAGCCCCCACCACCTTCAAGTTAGCCTGGGAAGGCTGAGGCCGCACAGGGGCAGGCCTGGCTCTCAGCCTCCTCCTGCCTGTCCGCGCGGTATCCACGTGGCCTTTCCCTTAGCCAGATGTGAGTCAGATTAAAGACCTTAGTCTCAGACCTCACCTGGGAGTCCTGCCAGATGAGAGCAGAGCGGCCTCCCTCAAGGTCTCCTTGACAAACCCTGTTTTACTCTTAGGCTTAACGACCAGCCGAAAGCAGACGTGTTGGAGGCTCACGAAGCAGAGGTGAGGGTGACACACATGAGTCCACAGATGGCCCCTCCCTCTTTTCTCCCTTTGCCGTCTCAGAATGTGCAGGGGGCTTGAGAGTGAGTGGGGTGGGTGCTGGGCCCTGGCAAGGGCTGTCCCAGGTGCCCACTGCAGAGGTTCATGGCAGGGAGGAACGATGATGACTGTAATGGAGCACGCTTGTCCAAGCCCTGTCTTCCCCATGCTCCCCAGGTGATTGTAGCCTGGATCAAGAACCACTGCCTTGAACCTTGAACATGAGTGTCAACTGAGCCTGGATCCCTCCATTGCATTATGGCTTGGAGAATGTTAACAGACTGATTTACTCCTGCTCAGGGAGAGCCAGAAACTGTGCTTAAACAAGAGTTCCAGAAGGATGGGTGCAGTGAAATTCATCTATGCTAGGGCCGCTCCTGCCCTTCCCTAGACACTTAGATGTTGCTCACAGGTAGATCTTGGAGTATTAGCAGGACGAAGGGCCTCGGGTCACTGGGGCAACTGCCACATATTGTGGATGAGGGCATTGAGGTCCAGTGATGCTAAGTGAGCCGCCCGCTGTCCACAGCAGCTGGGTGCCCTGGCAGAATACCTCTCTCCTCCCTTACCTGGCAAGGGCTCCAGGAGAGGGAAGAGAAGTCACGGAGCCCAGATCTTCTGCCCATGCCTGTTCCTCCCTGCTCTCCTTTCAGGCTGAGGACCCAGAGGCTGGCAAGTCAGAGGCAGAAGACGATGAGGACGAGGTGGACGACTTGCCGAGCTCTCGCCGGCCCTGGCGAGGCCCCATCTCTCGCAAGGCCAGCCAGACCAGTGTGTACCTGCAGGAGTGGGACATCCACTTCGAGCAGGTAGAGCTGGGCGAGCCCATCGGTCAGGGCCGCTGGGGCCGGGTGCACCGCGGCCGCTGGCATGGCGAGGTGGCCATTCGCCTGTTGGAGATGGACGGCCACAACCAGGACCACCTGAAGCTCTTCAAGAAAGAGGTGATGAACTACCGGCAGACGCGGCACGAGAACGTGGTGCTCTTCATGGGGGCCTGCATGAACCCGCCCCACCTGGCCATCATCACCAGGTAACCCAGCCCCAGGCCCTCATGCTGGGTGGCCGCCTCAGCCTCCCCCTTCCCAGGAAGTCACGTTGTTTGGATGCCCTAGAAGGTGTGGAAATTCTAATAGAGGCACAAGGAAGAAAACTAAAAATGGGATATAACTTCCTACTCACGTAACCTCACTGACACTAAAAAATAAATATGGGCTGGTGCAGTGACTCATGCCTATAATCACAACAGTTTGGGAGGCCAAGGTAGAAGGATTGCTTGGGGCCCAGTAGCTTGAGACCAGCCTGGGCAACATAGTGAAATGCTATCTCTACAAAAAATACAAAAAAATTAGCTGGGCCTGGTGGCAGGTACCTGTGGTCTCAGCTACTTGGGAGGCTGAGGCAGAAGGATCACTTGAGCCCAGGAGGTCCAGGCTGCAGCAAGCCAAGGTCATGCCACTGCACTCCAGCCTGGATGACAGAGTGAGACCTTTCTAAGGTTATAGAAAATCAAATGTCCATCCAAGATACGGAGTGAAAGCCAGTCGTCTCCCACTGCACCTGAGCGCTTCTCCCCAAAGTCAGAGACACTATAAACAGTTAACATCCCTTCTGTTAAAATGAAGACATTTGCATATACTCACATTTTTAACCTGTTTATTCCTTCTTATACAAATGCAAAGGAGAGATCAGGCTGGTTCATGCCTTCTGCGCTCAATAACGGGTCTGAGGTCTGCTCTCTTCTAACACATGCATGGTATCCCCATCACATGGACCGAACCTGGTGGTGTGCTGGTACATGTGTATCAACCAGTTTTGGGTCAGTAGGGAGGGAAGCCCTAATTTGTTACATCCATCACTTTCTGTGGTGTAAATATTCTCACCATGGTCAATTTCAGACTGTCAGCGTGACCTCCCTGGAGTGCATTAGAGTTGGAATGAGTCATGTAACGCTCATGAGCTGATCACTGGTGGTCCCATAATTTATTTACAGAGCAAGACTCTGTCTCCAAAATTAATAAAAAACAAAACATAATTAATTAATGAAACACAAGACAGGGTCTTGTTCTGTCGCCCAGGCTGTAGTGCAGTGGTGCGATCTTGGCTCACTGCAGCCTCCACCTCCTGAGCTCAAGCAGTTCTCCTGCCTCAGCCTCCCAAGTACCTGAGATTACAGGTGCACACCACCACACTCAACTAATTTTTGTATTTTTAGTGGAGAGGGGCTTTCACCATGTTGGCTGGGCTGGTCTCAAACTCCTGACCTCAGGTGATCCGCCCACCTCAGCCTCCCAGAGTGCTGGGATTACAGGCATGAGCCACTGTGGCCTGCCTGAAACAGGAAAACATTCACTAACAAAAAAATCTTACTTTGTTTAGAATATGCTGAAGAAAAGTGGGACACAGATAAGGAAATCACCAATACTCTACCCCTCACCCAATTTTCTTTTTTTTTTTCCTTTTTTTCTTTTTTTTGAGGGGGAGTCTCCCTCTGTGCTGGGATTACAGGCATGAGCCACTGCTCCCAGCCCCTTGCCCAGTTTTCAAAGGCTCTGAGACTCCAGAATATTTTTCTAAATTCATAGTCCTTTCCTAAGATAGCTCCCCTGGAACAGGGGAGTGACCCCACATTCTCTCTGGGTCCCTCCTCACCCTAGGTTTTAGGAGGTGATGCAGGTGGAGACCCCAGACCTCAGGCTCCTTTTCCAATAGTTACTGTGATACCCCTAACATCTCCCCCACCCCTTTCCCTCCTTGCACGCTCCATTATTGTTATAAAAATCCCATGATCAAGAAAAAATGAAAACTATAATGAGACTCTCGACAGTGATCTCCAGTGCCTTGATGTTGCCTGGTGATTGCTTTAAAAGGCCAAGTTCTTCCCCATCAGAGTGATCCTGCCTTGAACCCATCAAGCATGGCTACTCTGAGTTCCTGGGAGCTTTGATGCGCTGTTTCCTGTTGTAGGACAGGCAGGCACTGGCTCTCAGGGAATGGGGTTTGTGTGCATGTACGTGCGTGGCATCATGTGTGTTTCTGCATGTTCAGGCCAGACCCCAGCGGCCATCGGCTGGGTTAAAGATTTGGCTCACAGCTGAGGGGGTGGAGAGAGTCCTTGCAGGCAGGCAGGCACAGCTCTCCCCGTGCGCTCCACCAGGGACAGGGTCAGGCTACACCAGCCAGGACCTGTGCTTGACCCACCACCACCCTCGACAGCTTCTGCAAGGGGCGAACATTGCACTCGTTTGTGAGGGACCCCAAGACGTCTCGACATCAACAAGATGAGGCAGATCACTCAGGAGATCATCAAGGTGAGGGGGTGTCTGCTGTTGAGGGGTGGGTTTCTGGCCAGTTCCAGGGCTCTTGGCTGTTCTCCCGCCCTGTCAGCCCCCATCAAGTTGGTTTGGCAGCTTTGCCTCTGCCTCTAGCTCAGGCTCCTCAAGGGTGGGACCCTGTCTCCTCCTCCCTGTCTCTCATTCACTCACAGCTGGGAGCTGACCATCTACATGATTAGCCTTGATGGAATTGACTTGTTTGGGAAGGAACTCGGCAGGCTTTAGAGACAGTTTCAATCCAGGTCACACCCGCTGTGTGAGTCTGGGCAGGTTGTTCAACCTCTCTGAGCCTCAGTTTTCTCTCCTGTAAAATGGGAATTCTCATATAGCCTCCCTCTCTGGATTGGTGTTAGGTTGAAAATGCAATAATCTATGCATTGGGGTGCACAGGAGCCCTGGGTCTGGTGTTTGAGGAAGCTTGACCTTGATTGAGATCATGCCTGTGTCAGGTCACCCACGTGCCATTACCTGCCTTGTCAGTGCTCAGTTAAAATAGAGCATTGGTTAGAAATCACCCACTGCCACCTTCCACTTGGCAGATGAGAAAACCAGGCTTCAGAGGAGTTGAGCTCTGTGTCCATGGCCACAGAGTAAGCGAGACTCTGAGCTGAGATGGAATTCAAACCCCAGATTTCAGTTTTAGTCCAGGGCTCCTTCTACAGCTCAGATATTAGGAACATCCCAAGTTGGGAACCCCTCTGTGGGAATGCCTCTCTGTTCCCCTGCCCTGAGCCCTGGCCCTGACTGAGAGTGGAGACCAGTGATGCATATCCTGACAGAAAACCCCAGCTCATTTAGGCCCTTTATGACTTAACACAGATAATCTCACTGTTCCTACTCCCCTGGCTCCCCGCCCTTCACCCTGTTCATACCCACTACCTTTTCCAAGATTAAGGTGGCTATTTGGAAGCATGGTAACATTAAAAGAGCATGGACCCATCTGGGGTCAGATCTCAGCTCTGCTCCTTCACTGCTGTGTGCCTTGGGGCAAGTGACTTTCCCTCTCTGAACCTCGATGTATTCTGTAAAATGGGGACAGTATACTGCATGGAATGGTGAAGATCAAATGAGGGGGTTTGGGTAGAGCATCCAGCCCAGGGTGGCAGCTCCATCGTCACTGAGCATCTTCACTCCTGCCGATCTGGGGCTCGCCGTCCTCCAGGGCATGGGGTATCTTCATGCCAAGGGCATCATACACAAAGACCTCAAATCCAAGAACATCTTCTATGACAACGGCAAGGTGGTCATCACAGACTTAGGGCTATTTGGGATCTCAGGCGTGGTCTGAGAGGGACGGTGAGTGGGTCTTGGGTATCTGGGTGGGATGGGGATGCTGGGTGGGGAAGGGCGGGCCTGAGGTCTGGCCCTTTACTGTTTGTTGCTGAGCTGCAGTTGTCCCTGCAGGGAAGTTCAGGTCACTTTGGTCCTGCCCTTGTAGTTCTGGTTCAGAATCAGATTTGGGTCATGTTTGGATTCTCAGACTGACTTCCTGGAGACCAGATCACCACACTCATATTTGCCCTGGCTGTTCACCAGCTTGGCCAAGGACCCAGGATTCATTTCCCCACGATGAGGAAGAGCGTCATTTTATTTCCCCAAATCTTGAAGGGGTTGGGTTGGGAGAAAGGACCCTCCCCTGGCATCTGGAGAACCCTGAAAGGGAGTGTGGCAGTGAGGCTGCAGGACCAGTCCCAGGCAGGTTTGAGATGGACAGGCAGATCGGGGTTCCTGGTTACAGAAGCACCCCATTCTCCTAGCAAAGAGAGCTGGGCACCTTCAGAGGCTCCTCCCTGTCAATATGTATCCGTTCTTGCCCCACTTTTCTAGAAACACCTGGTCATGGCTCATTTGTAGAATTCCTCAAAAGCACCGATGCCTTTCCCAAGTGCGGGGTCAGCGTGCTGGCTCTATGTGTGTTCTCTAAGCTGTGTGTGGGTGCTCTGCTGGCCCTGGGACAGACCTGAGCCAGGCAGTCCTCTTGGCTGCCTGCTGAAAGGCCTGTGTCCCTGCCCCGGCTTCCTGGTCTTCAGGCGTGAGAACCAGCTGAAGCTGTCCCACGACTGGCTGTGCTATCTGGCCCCTGAGATCGTGCGTGAGATGACCCCTGGGAAGGATGAGGATCAGCTGCCATTCTCCAAAGCTGCTGACGTCTATGCATTTGGGTGAGTAGGGCCCTAGTGGCCATCTGTGGCAGAGGGAGGTGGGCTTTTAGGTGTTGAAAACCCAGACTTTGGAGTAAAACTCCACCTGGTCTTGAGTCTTGGCTCTGCCACTTGCTGGGTACGTGACCACATCCTTGACCTTCTGCCTCCCCATGAGTAAGATACGGAGAGAAAATAGCTCCTCCACACAAGGTCATTTCCTGAGGACTAACGTAGGTCATTGTGTTCTGTGCTTAACACTGGCCGTCAGCCCCACCCAGCCAATCTGCAAGGATGCTCACTAGAGCTGATGGAGAACTGTCCCTTCCAGGCTGGGGGAGGTGGGCGTCCTGCCAGCCAGGCTCTGGTACCCCACAGAGAGCTGGGTGCTGACCAGTAGCAATGTAATATGAGCCCAGTATACAAGCTAAAGTTTTCTAATAGCCACATTAAAAAAAGAGATGGGTGAAATTAGTTTCCCCTGTTTATATTTTATATATTATAAAATGATATATTTTATTTAACTCAGCATATCCAAAATATTATTTCAACATGTAATCAACATACAAATTAATATGATATTTTATGTTCTTTTTTCCTACTAAGAATCTGGTCTTTGTTTACTGCCCAGATTACCCCTCCATTCAACTGTGTACATTTCAGCCCGCCAATAGCCCCCTGTGGCAAGAGGTTCCCCCATTGGACAGTGTGGATCTGATGGAGACAGTCCTGTTCTAAGTCGAGAAAGCCAAGGGGATGTGGAGAAGCCAAGCAAGGCTCACCACCCCAGTCCCCTGTGCTGTCTCTGGGTGTTCTTCCCAGTGGGGTGACCTTGGCGCCATCCTTCTTCCCTGAACTTTAACTGTATCCTTTCCTGAGCACCCATGTGTGCCAGGTGCTGGGCTTGGCACTTCAGTACTCCTCAAACAACCCTGTGACAAGGGGCTGAGGCATCAGCCCCACTGAGGTGAAGCCATTTTACCAGGAGCCAGTAGAAGGTGGCAGAGCTGGGTTTGTGCTGAGGTCGGAATGACCACCCATGCTCCGGTCAAGCCTGTGCTGTCTCAGACTTCCCACCCCATGACAGCACAGGGCCCAGGTCCTCCAAGGCTGGGAGGAGCCTCCAGGAGGCCGTCGTTGCATCCCCTGAAGCCAAATGAGTGAGGAAGGTTGGAGGGGGGTCCTGATCCTCTGGCTGGGTGATGGCTGCAAGAGCCCCTGTGTGTGAGCTGGGCAGAGTGGCCCCAGAACTCACGGCCATGGCTGGGTCTCCACAGGACTGTCTGGTATGAGCTGCAAGCACGAGACTGGCCCTTGAAGAACCAAGCTGCGGAGGCATCCATCTGGCAGATTGGAAGCGGGGAAGGAATGAAGCGTGTCCTGGCCTCTGTCAGCCTGGGGAAGGAAGTCAGTGTGAGTAGCCCCTGCCTGGGAGGGGCAGTAGGATTGGGGGTAGG